CTGATATTCTTGAAGAATAGTTTAACATTCTTAAAGAATAAGACGTTAATTTCAAGTGCATAAGCAACATTTTTGAAATAGTAACAAATATATTCTTGAAGAATAAGGCAGGAAATAAAATAAGAACCTAAAATTCATATATAAAAATATGACATTCTCATAAGGGTGAAGATAGTTTAAAACTACAAATCTAACATTCTCATGAGAATGAAAATAAAGTACAATTGCATAACCATTATGGCTCAATATTTGTACAATACGAGGAACTAACTACTTCAATGAAGGTGTTATAGGTCTGTATTGGCTTGCTAGAACATCGATAAGGAACCACGTGGTGTGGAGCTCTTTTTTGTTCTATAAGAAGAGCATGGTGAAAAGATTATCTAGTGCCCTTGCTTGAAAACAAATCATCCATCCTACGTGACCTTCACGCACCATTTATCTTTACTAAATTCAAGCCCTTGATCATAACATTTTGTGAGAATAAATGCCATGAAATCGAATTATATGAGGATAACATTTTATGAGAATGGTTGTTGTCAAGCTTTTATCCCTTGTTCATGACCTGCGAAAACAAGTGAAAAGAATTAAAAAAAAAAAAAAAAAAAAAAAAAAAAAAAAAAAAAAAAAACCAAAATTCCCAAATTTCAAATGCTTTTTTCATCTCCCAAATATTTAAAAAAAAAAAAAGTGAAACAGCTTCATTATACCATCGCAACATACATTATGAAAGAATATTGCAGCAACAAAGAGGAAGAACAAAATCTCCGCTTTTATTTTGATAACATACTGAAAGAATATTGAAAAACATTATGAAAGAAGAATCAAAACTCAAAATAATTAAAACCAAATCAAATTACATCCAATTTACATGGTGATAGAATGAGAGTTGAAATCAATGAACATGTTAAAGAGCTAATCGACAGAGACTAGATGGTGGCTTGATGATCGTAGTGTAGGGTTTCCAAGAAAGAGAGATGTTTTGCTGGTGATTAGTAATTAATCCCTAAAATGGTGTATTTTAAATGAATTTATCACATAAACATGATAAAACTTGCAATTTACTTGATTTTAAAGGCAAGATTACTATATTAAAAATAAAATGAAGTCATTAGTCTCTACTTGTTTGGCATATAGTCAACTCAAAGAACATGATAAAATTCAAGAAGACAGTATGTACAATTCTGAAAGAATATTGCAACAACAAAGAGGAAAAACAAAATCACTACCTTTATTTTGGCAGCATTACGAAAAAATATTGAAAAACATTATGAAAGAATATTGTAGTATGTATTCTTAAACAAGCAATGTATTCTTAAAGAATACTATAGTATGTATTCTTAAAGAATATTGTAGTATGTCATCATTTATTATTTATTAAAATTCTCAAAGTGCAGATAAAGTTATCATCATCTTCCTATAAACTTGCTTCAGAATTGTATAAAATTTATGAATTAGATGATAGTTCAAGGTCTACATAACACTAGAACGAATAAAGAACATATGTATAATAGGAAAGTAAAGGCAACAATATACAAATCTGGTAACCATATGCATAGAAACACGACCAGCAAAGAAATTTTTCATCAAAGCAAGAAGAAATTAATACAAGAAAAAGGAATAAATAGATTTGATAGAACAACTTACATAATTTCTTGTATAGAAGATAAATGCTCCATATATTGAAAGAAAGGTCCAGAATCACCCAAACTGCAAATATTGGAAGAAAGGTCCAGAATCGGCCAAAACAATGACGAACGGATTTTTAAATGAAGACGATAATTCTAGTATTTTTCTTAAAACTGATGAATAAAGATTGACTTGCAGGTCTATATTCTTCATCTTGAAATCAATTTGAAGCTGTTGAAATCCTGACATATCCATGTCACACAGGTCCAATAACAGAGCAATGGAAGGCCATTGTTGTATGATGGTGCTGATTACACTTGTAGGAAAATCTATCGACTCCAATAAAATGATAAATCGTTACTCAACATAAGGGAAAATAAACAACAAAATTGATCTAAAAATGGCTTCCAGAGTAACACATTTTCAAGTCTCCTAAGACATCTTAATTTCTGACTTCAAACACTATCCCAGGCTCCAATATTTGTTTTGTTGGAATCAAAACATTGTTTTTCAAAAGTGAAGTGGGAGACAACAGAATAATGTTATTTTTAAGGATTTTCTGTGAAAAAATGTAGTAAAACAAGTTAGGGTTTAATCGATCGGATCATGGATCCATCGTAGCTGTAGAAAAAAAATGAATGGAAGTTTATGTAAAAACCTACCTGGAGGGTGGCGAATAGATTAGAAGGTACTGATGTCGAACCTCTCTGGTGCTGAAGATTGCATTTAGGAGGCGGTGTATGGTGGTGACATGTGATTGTAAGTAGTTGGTATGTCTAGTCGATTGCTATCATATGATGTTATAGTTTCACATGGATAGAAGAGAGGATGATTGTGTATAGGGGTTTAAGCATAAAAGGTAACTATGTTGTGGTTTAAAAAGGGGTAGGCCACTGGGGAAGACGAAATCCATGACTCCGGCATGGTCTTCAGTGTTTATCGTTCTTCCTCTTTTTCTTTTGATATGCGTGAATCCAATTTTTCCCCAAAATAACCTCTCAAACTTAGGTTGAGCTATATATGGTGGACTTGTTACTTTCACTTAGCATAATTATAGTATCATCATTTAAAATTAACTAATTTATTTATATATCGAATTACTACTATATGTTTTTAATTGATTGGATTAGAATAAGTCATATATTCATACAATATTTAGAAATTATATATGAACCTAACTATATATATATATATATATATATATATATATATATATATATATATATATATATATATATATATAATGTTTACCAAAAGTTATACACAAGATACAATCATTCCAACTCTTTCTCATTTTATATGCACATGCATACACATTAGGCTTACTACTAGCTTCATCCTTGTTAATCTTCACAAGTTTACCTTGCATGATCATTAGAAACTGACTAAATATGCCAACTTGTAATCTTCAAAAGTTGGTCATCAAGGTTCTATGGGCCAATTTGAGATTTTCAAAAATTAAAATATAAAACAAAAGGACTAATGCTAGAAATAGCAACGCAAATTTTATTTATCTATTTTAGCATTCTACTTTCCTTTCTTTATATGAATGTCAACCTAAGTCCTAATAAATGCAATTCTTTTTATAAATTTTTAAAATACATTCTCTTAATAAAAATAAAATTAATTAGAAGTACTATAATCGGGTTCTTTGTCTTACCTGTTTTATGCAGATGATGATATCTTCTTTTGTCGGTGGTCTCAATAAAATGTTGTCATCATCGTTAGATTGCTTCATTGTTTTTACCTAATCTCAAATCTCAAAAATAATATCCATAAAAGTCGGATTATGGGTATTGGTGTCAATCAATCAATGGTAGCTTCAATTGGGTGTGCAGCTAGCAAGTTCCTGTTTACTTATTTGGGTCTTCCTGTGGAAAAAAAATGTCTCAGTTGGAAACTTGGGGTGATGCTATTCGTAAAGTTACTCGTAAGCTGTCAAATTGGAAAGTTAAAACTCTTTCAGTGTTAAAATCAATCTTGGGTGTTCTTCCTATTTATTTTATGTCTCTTTTTAAGGCTCCGGAAGGTGTGCTTAAAATCCTTGAATCTATGAGGAATTCTTTCTTTTTAGTGGCTGATTTGGAAGAAAGGAAAATGACTTTGATGAGTTGGAAGAAGGTGATGGCGCAAAAGGTTTATGGTGGTCTTGTGGTGAGCGGTCTTTTTGCTTTGAATCGTGCTCTATTTTCAAATGGGTTGGCGATTTCTTCCTTCTCCCACTGCTCTATGGGTTAAAATTGTTAAGGCTATACATGGTGTTCATGGTTTGATTGGTAATATCACTCATAGGAATCCTCACAGCTCAGTTTGGGTTTCTATTATAAAGGCTCTAGATAATTTACATTTTAAAGGGGTCAATCTTTTTTCTTTTTGTAAAAAGAAAATTGGTGATGGTTTGGATACGAGCTTTTGGGAGGATATATGGATTGTTGACATGCCTTTGAAGACTAAATTTCATAGAATTTATGCTTTGGAGTTAGATAAGCATGTTTTGGTGGCCAAAAAACTTATGCAGACTAACGGTTCGTTTCGTCGCATGCCTAGAGGAGGTGTCAAAAGTGTTCAGTGTCGGCTTTGCTAAACACAGTGGTTCTTTCCCCTATTCCTATTCCTATTCCTGACAGATGGAGTTGGTCGTTAGTTGGTTCAGGTTTGTTTTCGGTTAGCTCTGCTTGGTTGGCGATTGATAAGAAAATTTTGATTTGTTTTGATATTACGACTAGATGGTGTTCTCTTGTTCCTATAAAAATTAATGTGGTTGAGTGGTGGTTGCACTTGGATAAGCTCCCTACTAGGGCAAATTTGTTTAGTAGAGGTCTTGTTTTGTCTTCTATTACGTGTCCTGCGATCAGGAGTTGGAATCAATTAACCATCTTTTTTTTAATGCCCCATGGCTTGCGATTTATTGCTTCTTTTGGGTAGATGGTGGAATATTGTAATGCCTACTTTGACTTCTATGCGGGATTTGTTTATTTGGTTTTGCTCTCTTACGATGTTTAAGGTTCATAAAGAGTTCTTGAAAGCCTCATTTCTTACCTTATGGTGGCATATTTGGCGGTTTTGGTAATGACTGCATTTTTGGTACAGAAATTCCTAAAAAAGAGTTTGTTGTTTGACCAAATTATTACTCAATCTTTTCTTTAGGATAATTTTAGGTGTCGTAGCTTGAGTTGCCTGATTACACAATCCAACTCTCGCTATCTCTTGCATGTAATTTTTTTGGGGTTTTGTCTAGCTTCTTGCTAGCTTAATAATATCTTTGCCGTTTGAAAAAAAAAAATAGAAAGAAATAAAATTCAAATATTACTATATGAACATATTAATGAAAATACGTCTTTACTTCTTTACTTGTAACACGAGACAAGTTAGGTATGAGCTAAAAATATGAATTTTTTTTATTGCAGCATTTGCTTTTAAAGTGTCAGAATCCCAGATTGATATGCATCTTATAAACACAAAACCGTAAATGCATTGATTTACATGCACTTATGGCAACAATGATCCACACCAGAAGTCAACAAAGTCAAACAACACCTGGAATCATACGTAACTTGTAAAATAAAACCTTACAGAACTGCAATGCTTGTGATTTTTGGATCTTGATTTGTGACACGAATCTTCTCCTTCTCCTCCTCGTTTTTAATTTGTTGCTTCTCAGAAACAACCACAAGATTCGCCTCCTCTTCTTGACCAGGATATGATCTTGCACTCCCGCGAACAAGATCTTTAATCACTGTTGTAAGTTGTTTGTCTTTCAACAGGGATTCCATTGTCACATGAACACCTGACAGATTTTTTAATTTATAAAAAAAAAAAAAAAAAAAAAAAAAATTAGAAAATGATTTAGTTACGTTGTGAAAAAAGAAACCAGATTACACTTACGGAATCGCCAGTAATGTTTAGGATTTGTGGGATCATTGATCGTTTCCTCTGTTGCAGGGCGAGCTGTGTACGCTTCTTTTAGGGCTAATAAATCCTGACAAATAAAATGTTGGGATTATTTGAGGATTTAAAACAGATGAAATGACTGAATATTATATATACCTGTAGAGGGAAAATCGCCCACATGGATGGAGATTCAACATGCTGACGCAGCACAAAATATACTATTTCCGGAACACATTGCTTAGGTGGCAAACTGTCGGACCCCACCATGGTTTTGAAAAAAGAACGTCTTCTATCTTCATCTTCTTCCCACCATGCACGTAAGGTAGAACAATCATGGCATGATGGTGCACATACCTTCAACCAATATTATGATTTATGATTCAAAAAACACATACAAGTGTGTGTGTGTGTGTGTGTGTGTTTGAAGAACATACCGTCATATACCCATATTGAGAAGGAATACCAAACTCCAAATCAGATTCACTTGGCATGCGTTGAATACGTAATCCGATTAATCCAAGCTCGTGCATAACCTGGAACACAAATCCATTGGTGTTTAAAAAACATTAAAGAATTCAGGGAAAAAAGACGAAAGATGGATGCACATACAGGATGAACACAAGAAGGAATTAGGCCTAGATCTTCTCCACATGCTAGCATATCAGATGAGTTTAGAAGAGCAGGCAAAGTCTTCATAGCATTTTGGCGCCAAAGAGTCTCTTGTCGATTAAAATAGTAATCATAATACAATCTTCTAAAAATGTTTTTGCTACATCAAACATCAATTCAACAACCATGAAACCAAATTCAGATTCATTAACCAAAAAAATTGAAGATATAGAAGGTATGTATAGCTTACCTGTGTTCATCCAAATCCTTGAAACTTGATGTATCTTCCAGGTTAAAACGAGGATAAAAACTTGTAGCATCCTCGGGGTCTCTAATAAGCACCACATTCTGCCACAATAATAAAACATTTATTAAAACTTAGTAAATTAGAAGATTGATAAATCTTGATTATCCTACCTGAAGAAGATCAAAAAGACCACGGCGTAACTTGTCTTCACTTTCCAGCAACAATGACTTGTCAATTAGTGATTTAAGCTTCGCCACAATCTTTTTCTCTGTGTTGCAATCGTCCTTAAACTGTGATACCAGAGAATGTTATATATTATTATGAAAATGAAAATGATAGTATTATATTATTACTACTACCTCATAACGGCTTTTCTGATATTCATTCATGAAATGAGAGGCTAAAACTATCCAAGATGGTCCAAATTTTTCCTGAAAAAAGAAACAAACATATATCACATTTGTGGATTCAATTAAAATATGTCAAATTTAATACCTGTAAAAAGTCCTGAAGGATGTAGGGTTTGCATAAGCGGTCGAAGTCCCATATTCCCTCTTTTTCAAGCTCTTCCTATATTTGAAAATGTTCATTATTTATATCAAAACAGAAACAATTTTTTTTGTATAAAAATTAAATGTTGAAAATTTACCTGACTAAGAGGTATAGAAGGTCGAAATTTTCCAACTAGACCTGTAGTTGCATGTTCTGGAAGCTCCCAGATTCTAAAGAAACCCAAAATGTGATCTATCCTGTAGGCCGTGAAATAATTTGCCATCTGTCATCCCAAATTATTATTCAGTAGAAAATTTTAGGAATCAAATTTAATGATTTAAGTGTAAAATATGAAAGTGAGAAATTAACCTGTGATAAACGAGCACGCCACCAAGCATAGTTGTCTTTAGACATTTCCTCCCAATTGTAAGTTGGAAACCCCCAATTTTGTCCATTTTTATCAAAATAATCCGGTGGGGCCCCTGTGGAGGTGTTCATACGGAATAAATTTGGATTCACCCAAGTGTCTACACTGTTTCTATCAACCCCAATTGGGAGATCTCCTTTTAGGACCACTCCTTTCTCTTTTGCATATTCTGCTGCTTCTGATAACTGTGGATAAAAAGGAAGTAATGTAATATCAAGTTTCTTTCAGTTATAATAATGTGGAAATTCAATAAATCATATTAGTCATTACATGTATGATAAATTGATGAGCTTACTTGTAGGTGCAAATGGTATTGTATGTAATAATGGAAGGATATGATGTCATAATGGAAGCTGTCCTTGGACACGAGTTTTTCAAGCTGGTGAATTTATAATGTTAGAAGATCAGCAAAATAGGGATTTTATTAACTGTATTTAACTTAATTAGATTCTGTTATCACCTTATTTTTTGAAAACTGACTAAATGTGCCCCATTGGCTGTGGTCTGAAGTTTCAAAGAAATCCCGTAGGAAACAAAAGGCTGCATACGGTTTTAACCATTCCTGTCACATGCAAAAACAGATAACAAGAAAGTTGATCAAGAACAAGAAGTCAAGAAATGATGTGTTATTTTTTTTTTTTTCCAAAATCTTCGAAAGGTACCTCGTTCTCTGACAAGAACTTCTTGAAGGAAGTAGAATTTAGTATTGAATCTTTTTCCAAATCAAAAAGCTTTTTAGCAATTGAAAGTTTTGTAGTCATGGTAGCCTCATAATCTACATGCTGCAATATATTAAATTATCATAAATTACTATTATATAATAATATTATTACAACTCAGGTAGCTTGATGAAGGAAGAACTACCTTCCCATCAAGCTCTTTCATGGCTGTTTGTATCTCTTGCTGCAAAAAAAAAGACACATAGGCAGAGTATAAGGAAAATAATAATACATCATGTTTACACTAATATTATGTTAGATCATGTAAAAGAGTGAGACAAAAAGAATATAACAAACAAATATCCTGGAGATTATATGAAAAAGGTAGTAACACCTACATTGATGTCATCTGGCATATTTTTTGAAAGAGCCTGGAGTCTGAGGTATAACGGGTGCAATGCAAATACAGACAGAGAGCTGCACAACAAGGAAAACATATATTCCAAGATAGTGAATTCGACAAGATATAGCAATGTACTTTAATTTACAGTATTATACTTTGAAAAAAAAAAAACATGTTCTTCTATAGTCAGGTAGATTTTCAAAGTACAATGCCTTGATAAGAACAAAACTGTGAATAGAATGGTGTAAAAGAAAGAAATGAAAATAGGTTGCTATAATAAACAAATAAATGAAAGTATGTTGCTATTTATTGCATTAAGCCCGTTATAGCTTTCAGCTAACAAAAGATTCTTACCTGTATGGATATGAATCCCACCACATCTTGTGCACGGAAGTATCATTTATGGGCAAAAGCTGGAGTAAATGGAAGCCAGAGTCAACAGCCCAGTCAACAACTAGTTTTAGATCAAGAAACTCTCCAACTCCCACATCATCCTCTGACCTCACTGAAAACATGGGGATTGCCACACCAGCACCACGCCATGGCATTTCCTTAGTAAAAAAACATACCAGATTTAGTACAACAGATTTCATACATATGATTGAGATTAATAAAGTATAAAACATATCTTAAAGATCTTACTCGCATCATGCCATCTGATAGGACAATGTAATTTGGTCCACTGGCTGAGATGTCAACTATGAGCTCCCTATTCGAACCATATTCTAGAGAGAAGTTCCCGTTCTTCCCATATTTACAGTATTTGTATGTGAAAAAGGTGTTAAGGAAGATACATGAACTGAAAGATTATATAATTTGAGATTTTATACGGAAGCTTTAAAAATCTCATATGGAAAGGATATTTTAGAGGGAAAGCGCCCTTTGGTACTACACAGTCTCCTTCCCAAATAGATTCACCAACATAATTGAGTTTAAGTCCATCATTAACCTTCCATTTACCAAGCTCAGTTGAGCTGCCAATTACATATACCTGCAAAAAAAAAGGATCATATTTCATGTGAAAACTGTGTGAATCTATAAATCAATGGAGTAGTTGTATTGAGCAAGAAGACAATTACCGATGTTCCTTCAGCTATATTCGGACAGCATATCTTGAATTGGACAATCACTAAATCTGAAAACAGTCAACATTTTCAACATTGGATCAAGCTCAAGTTTAGGATCCAAATTCATATAGAATTAGTATCAAAGATTGATAACATGATAAGAATCAGAGTGATGAAAAAATATTACCTTCTTGATCCAGTTTATTCTTGATTGTGCCAAGTGGTTTCTCAATAGCTAATTTGCTACTGGTGCGAAATATGACATTCTTGAATGCACTTTTAGAAGGGAGACTATCACTACCATTCTGCATTTTTGGCATAACACCAAATTAAGGCCATGAATCTTCATATCCTATTAGTGGATAACTTGTGCACAAAATGAAAAGAGTCAGATAGAAGAGATGAACCTGCCAAAGATCATGAAGCTCCACTACTTTTCCATTTTCAACTCCATCAGGAAGCAACAATTTCCTCTTATTTCCAGCTTCCCATCTCAACACATTCCTCTCATCATCCACTACATAATAGTTGTACTCACTTTGAAACCCAGCTGGAACTGCTAAACTCCCACCCCATATAAGTGCATCACCTTCATGGAAAGGGGTCAACAGAAGTCCCTTCTTCACATTTCCAGAACCAAGAACTGGTTCAGAGCCACACACAACCAAACTCTGACCCCATTGAGTGTAATAGGGTATCCTGAATCTCACATTCACTGATACTAGAGGCTTGATCTCAGAAAACAACCCTAAATTCACCATTATCCTCTAATCTGAAACAAAACCCCCAGGTTAATTTCTCAAACTATAGGAGAAAGCAAATGAAGTTTTATTAATTTTGTTCCCAAATATGGAATTGTGGCAGTTTCTTACCAACCATAAAAGTTCATAAAACTTGAATACTTTGACTTGAACATGAAATAAAATCTAACACACATTGTAATCAGTTCACAATTTCACAATACTAATATACGATACAACCTAATCAACCCTCACGATACTGTATCCAGAAATACACAAATTCAATCACATGGAGACGCAAATGGGATTTTACACGGATGAAATTTTACGAAACTCGAGTGCAGTTCGAGAAATGGAGCAGAAAAACCTTATACAATGTTCACTATATCGAATGTCGCCATATCCATAGCATAAGGAGTTGGGATATACACAAATTCAATCAGAAAGTAATCAATATTGATGGTAACTTACTCTAAGAGATGAACACGTGAATGAATGATGTACCTTTGCTTGAAATGAGTGTCACTTGGTATGCAAGTCGGTTTGAGTGAATATCTGGAAGCCCAATTTCCGGAAGCAATTGAATATTGACCAAACAAACAAATGAAAAGAGAGATTGCACGCTCAAGTGGAAATTTTTTAGAAAAAAAAAAAAAAAAAAATGGCAGCCACAACGTGTGTGGGTTGCGAATTGTGAAGAAGATATTATGGCAAAAAGGAGAAAATGTGCAATAAAGGTGTTTTCACGGGAGAGTGACTGGGGGGAGGGGGAATGGGATCTGCATCTTCATGACTCATGTGGGAGTTTGCGCTCCTTTGAGACGTGTCTTGTTGAAAATAGGTGAGTGCATATCTTTTTGATATTATTATTTTCTCCCGATACTACTAAAATTTCCTAAAACATTTAATAAAATTGCGTACTATTTAAATTCTTGTGTATAAGTTATATGATATTTTAAATTTATATCAAATATCTTTTAGAATTAAATTTAAAAATAAAAAGGATATGATATACAGTTTTGGGATAATTCCAATTTTAGCAAGTGATCAACCAAATATAAAGAAGATGAGTGTTTAAAGTAAGGTTGTTTGTTAACCGCATCTATTTTATATCTATTTCTGCAACGAAATGAACCAGTCGTTTTTATAAAAACCGGTTAATCCAGTTAAATTGAATAAAAACACATGAAAATAAAACATTTTACATAACAAATTTTGATGGTGATTTTACATATATTTATATTCCTTTAAATTGAATAAAAATCATGACTTTTTGATGTAATCTAAAACTATATTTTGTCATGGTATTATATTTTATTTTTTTATGTATATAGATTGATATAAAATTTATGGTTATGTATTTTTTTTTTAATGTAGTTGGAGTGATCTACAATTTGTTTTTATGTGTACTTTTAGTGTTTAAACTTGTTTTTATGTGTATTTTTAATGTTTAAACTTGTTTTTGTATGTATTTTTTATGTTTGAGTTATATGTGTGCATGAAAATAAGAAAAAGAACATGAAAACTCAAGAAATCGGGTTGAACCGGAAAATCAATCATCATACCGATTCAACTAAAAAAATGATTTTTAAAACACTAGATAACCTTTAAATGAAAATATTCAAACCATTCTCATGTTATCTTTGATTGATTACTTTTAGCATATTTTATATTTTTATTTAGGATCTTGAATAATTATAGAACCCCACATTTTCTTAATATTAAGATGTAAGAATTATTTAATACTAAATGGTTTACCGGAAAGCAAAGAGATAATATGTATGTATCAAATTGATCGAACAACATATAATTGTCCTTTGAAAATTTACTATAAAAATTTTACTTATTTTTATAGAATGTTTTATGAAACTGAAAGTTTCTAAATACATATTTTTTATTTACAACTCATTATATAAGGGTTAATGTCATAAATACAATTAATAATGCACATTTTTTAGGTCATTTATTTTTTATTATATTTAATAAAAAAATGCATCTTTTTGGGATTTTATTACATTATTGGAACAGATTTCAACTTATAAAACTGATATTGAATCATATGTGGCTTCAATTATGGCATTTAATATGATAGAATTTGTTCATTTAAAGTTATATAACCGTTATAATAACCTAAAATATAAATATTGACCAAGCCTTAAATGACCAAAAAAACAAATAAACAAACAAAATCTATTGATTGTCATTTTATGTCATTAACTATTCTATTTATATTCTTTTTAATTTATGGTTTTAACTCTATATCTTTATATACTATTACGTGCAAGGTTGTCAAAATTAAGATCTTGTGTATGATCGTTTTCAAGTTTGCAAGATCGGAATCAAGATTTTAAGATCACACAAAAAATGACATGAAAAGGTAATTGATCGTATATAAAACTTTTTTCCATATTTCAAGATTAATGATATGCTTAACAGTAACAACTCACAACCTTCATGTTTTGCTTTAAATCTTTAACATGCTATTTGTTTTAACTAAAGAAATCAGTAACAATTATAAAACCACAATTTCTCACTCTCTCAAGGAAAAGGGCTTTACTCACAGCCTTCATGTTTTTTGCTTTGAATCTTTAACATGTTATTTATTTTAACTAAAGAAATCAATAACAATTAAAAACCACAATTTCTCTCTCTCAATGAAAAGGGCTTGAACTATCAAAGAAAAGAATCTATCATAAGGCTCACTTTTATTGTTGAGCTTGAATTGTTGAAGGAAAAAATTAATAACAATCTGAAGCTAAGAATTATACCATCAATGAGGGTAAAACATAAAAGAAGAAGAACAATTATAGGATTGTTGGTCATTTACGATTCACAAAACAATACAAGAATGAGGTTGTACTCGATTGACCTTTGCATAAGGACTAAGGAGACAATGACAACCGGTAAACAGGTAAAGATACTAAAAAACGAATTAAAATTTAGCAATTTTAATGGATTGTTAGGACAGATCGGATCCCAATCCTACGATCCTATCTATCATCTTGCATACAAAACTAGGTCTGACAATTCTCGATACAACCCTCGGTACGGCACGAGATAAACTAGAGTAGGTTGAGTTTTTTCAATCCATCAACCCGTTTATTAAACATTTCATATATGGGTTTATCAAAAAAAAACAAACGGGTTGACCCATCAACCCGTTTAGAATATATATATATATATATATATATATATATATATATATATATATATATATATATATATATATATATATATAGGGTTAGGTTCATTTGAGACCACCTATATTTTGTGAGACCATGAGACGCATTTTTTTTATTTTTTTTTATTTTTTTTAGTTAATTCATGTTCCAAAAATAATATTTAAAAAAAGAATTTTTTGATTTTTCCATTTATTTTGCATTTTAAAATTATTTTTAGAATATGTACAGTGTAATATTCTATTTAGAATATTTCACGTGTTTTTCAAAAAAAAAATAGAATTTTTTTTATTTTTTTTAGTTAATTCCAGTTCCGAAAATAATATTTAAAAAAAGAATTTTTAGATTTTTCCATTTATTTTACATTTTAAAATTATTTTTTAGAATATGTCAGTGTAATATTCTATTTAGAATATTTCACGTATTTTTCAAAAAAAAAACGGAATTTTTTTAATTTTTTTTTTATATATATTTTTTATTTTTTTTAGTTAATTCAAGTTCCGAAAACAATATTTAAAAAAAGAATTTTTGGATTTTTCCATTTATTTTGCATTTTAAAATTATTTTTAGATTTAGTCTCACGGTCTCACAAAATTAGAATGGTCTCAAATGAACCTGAACCTATATATATATATATATATATATATATATATATATATATATATATATATATATATATATATATATATCTTTACTATCTTATAAAAGAAATCTCACTATTTCTATAAATAAATTGAATATAATAATAATATTTTTTTAAGACGTACAAACCATTAAGCTAACAGTACAACAAACTATTAATATAATAATAATAACCTGAATCAGTCCACATTAAACCGACATTCCGTCGCCTTCAACATATTCAAATCCTTCTTATCTCCTACCTATCAGGCCAATTATCCGTCAGCATATGATTCAAGAAATCAGAGGTTCTCTGTGAATTATTTTACCTGATTTTTTCCATGAGAAGAAGGCAAAGCCTCCCCAAAATCCTTGAAGCATACCGTCAACCTAAGAGCTCCTCTCATATCCGACGCAGACACCCACCACGTCCCGATCGGTGAGTAGCCATCACCATCACAGCTAAATGTCGCTGCCCTTTGTTTCTCGCTAAAATGCTCCAAACCGTCGCCACCCTTCACAACCATCACAGCCCGACCATACTAAATTGTCGGTGTCATCATGACCTTCACCAAATCCAGAATGTCCTTCATTGTAACTCACCGTTTCCTACACCCTAAGATCTCTCAATCCCGTTTCCTCTTATCATATATTCATCTGTTCTCTATAAACTCATAAATGCTGGAAAAAAAATGGAAGTTAAAATCAAATGACCACCGTTAAATGCCATCATCCTCCTCCTTTCTTATTTGTACTTGAAACAAAAAGAAGCTCTGATTTCAGATATCACGTAACACATTTCTTAATTTACTTTTTTGCAATCGAATCGATGATGGTGCTACTTCGAATATCTAACATCGAGTATCATTTTTTCACCTAGATTTCTATGGTCCTGGGTCATAAAAGGTCAAAAACCTCACTATACCTTGGATTTGTTCAAGAATCTGATGTGACTTCAAAGATGCAACCTCAGGTATATTTTTTGACCTGGAATTTTATGGTTTCACATCAACTAGGTGTTTTGGGTCATAAAAGGTTAATAACCTCACTGTTTTACTTTGATTACATTCAGAATCTTGTATGGCTATGAAGATCTAACCTCACATACCAATTTTTACTATTTATAGACATGATTTCTTATTGTCTTTGGTTAAAATTAATAAATAAAAAAATACCTTACAATTGAAAGGATTTGGAACTGAACTCTCAGGGAGGGTTCAAAATCTATATGCTATGGTTTGTGTTCAAGGACATGGTCCGGTTGCTAGAATACCTACGATGGCAGCTTAAGGTAATACAATTTCTATCGCTACACATTCTTATTTACTTTTTATCATTAAGTTTTCATGTTGACTAAGTTTCATGTTTATGCAATAGGCTTAGAGGAAGTGCCTTCAACATTGGTGATGATGAGAAAACAAGGGATTAAAGTTGAGATTACACCATTAAAATAAGTTGATGTCCCGTTTTTCTAACGAGATGGGAAAGCAAAAGAAATATTATAAGAAATGGTTATGAAAAAAATTTGATTTTTGAAGGTATTCCTATTTTTCTTCTGTGGTCATTAGGCATGATATGATGAATTGTGGTATGGGAATAGGGAAAAGTACAACTGCTTAGACTTAAATTGCCCAGGCAAAAAGTGGTTTTGACTTTGAATATGATAAGTTAAATTGGGCTTTAATTTGGTCGCTATGTATGCAATATATGTCTACTTTTGGAATTTAATTCATAGAAGAAGGTGGTTGTTGCCTGTATCTAGGTCAAACAATTTGGATGTCATCAAAATTTAATTTTAAACTCATTAAGTTAATTTGAAATTAATGTCTATAAGAATTGACATAATCTTTAATACTATTTGGGTTTCAGGATATTGGGATGAAATTCTCTGGATTCAAGGCAATACTAACATAAATTTGATAACCATGTCATCCAATTATAAAGATACATGGTACAATGGTTCTTACCATCATTAGGCCAACTACTAATTTAACCACAAGTTTAATCGAGACCATGGTAGATTAGAAACTAAAAGTGTGATGGTTTATAGCTAGATTACAGAGCTTCATCTCCATCATTTGTTCGCTCCTCTTCTTTGTGGTTCTCTTTCAAGGCATTTCCCTCCAAATGCTGGGTGAAAACTAGGAAGTTGGTAATCTTACAGCTACAGGGGTGAAATTGGCCCAATTTTTGGGGTAATATATATGCATCACATTATGTAATTGTTTTTTTTTTTTGCTCTTATCTCTTAATCCTTTATAACAACCATTTTGACTTTTTTCTCATTGTCTTTTGTAGGTAATCTGAAGTAAAAACCACTTATTTTTGTTTATTTTTAGATAATTTGCTTACTTACTTAACATTTTTGTTCTGAAAATTCAGTCTTTTTTGGTACAAAGTTTAGGATCCGAAGAAAATGTCTCAATAGAAGTAGAAAATGGTATTGGTAAGGCCAAGATGGAATATTATAAGTTTATTAAGCAGATTGGTGGATAAGGTTTTGGAGCTCCACTTCTTGTATTGCGAATCTTAATTCATTGATTTCATATTATGAGATGTTTGTTAATTAATCATTTTCTTTTTTAGGAAATGCTTTAGGTTCAACAGAGAAACATTTGATGTTTTACATATAGGTAGGTTGAGAAAAAAGCATGTAGGATGTGCAATTCACTAGCCTTGTTGAAAGGTAAAGTCACACTGAATCTAATTAGTTGTGATTCTCATTTTTTTTTTTTCCGTGAAAGCTTATTTATTTTGAATCATTTCTTATATAACTGAATTTAGAATGTGGGATTTGAAATATTGAGGGAACCTTAGTTTAAGTAAACATAGACACCAAGGATATGGATTTGGATCCGAGAAGCATAATTAACTAGGAATATCTAATAAGAAAGTCAAATAAATAAGTCTTCCACAGAGTGGAAGCAAGAATCATACTGCAACACTATCTGCCAAGTGACTGGTTATTTGATGTAGGTTTAAATGAAACTTATATTTAACAAGATTGTAATTGTTATTAGCTTATGATTATTTGTACAGTTGGTAGGACAATAGATGTGTGTTGTCCTAATCGTGTGAGTTCACCATTCCCATTCACACCTTGGGGTGGAATCATGCCTTATTTACTTAAAACTATAATTGAATTTATTGAAACTGTTGTTGCATGATGATCTAATTGCACTTTAAATGTTTCATTAAGGCATTGTTCTTTTGAAATCTACCAATAACAACATTGTATTTTCGTTTTTTTCTTGTGAAT